GAAAAACTAGAAAGAGAAATGAACGGGATAAGAATATCAAAACGCAGCATACGCGGTCTTGCTAGATTTATGGGTACGATTTACAAATATTTATTCGGCACATTAGATCAACAAGATTAAGAGGAATTATAATCCAAAATCAAAAACATAGCAGAAAACATTGTACAAGCAAATGAATTAAACCGAGTAATAAAAGTAGTCAACACAGGCATAGAAATTATTAAGGAATGACACCTTACAGCATGTTAAGTCAGAAAAATTATTAAATATCAAAACTTAAACTTGGTTGAAGACCGACACCAACGAAATCTTAATCATTTCCCATATTCCACGGGCGATAGTAATAACGCCGATTTTTGAAATATTATCTTATCCAGATAAGGATAACAACATATAAACAGAAGTTATCCATGACAAGTACTTCATGCAAAACAATCAAGCCTACACGGCAAACACAAAAAAAAACACAAAAGAATTTGTTGGATTCCGCAACAGCCGCATCATCAGTATAAGCAAACATTCTTAGTTTAGTGAAACAGCTGTTTGTTGTAAACTGTAAGCTGCTATGAATTGCAGATTTTTCTAGCTAGTGAGTTGTTCATTGTTGATCGAGGCGAAGCAAAGAACCTTTCTGAGCCACAGCCAAATAATCAGGCAAATTTACGTTAATTTAATAAAATAAACTATTTTATAACGTGTTGTTGTGAAACGCAAAATTTGATTTTATTTCTTGGCGAAAGCTTCAAAACATTGGTAACTCAACATTTTGGAGGCCCCGGCGATAAATAACAAAACTCAAAAAGATATAAAAATGCCGCGCATAACTCGTTCGTTATGAGGATTCGCCAAACCAAACCATGATCTTGGCCAACAGAAGGTGCTTGCCAGAGCTCAAATTACCAATGCTTTCCGGGGGCTATACCGAATATTCGGATTTCATAGCAATGTTTGAGTCAGTCGTCGACAAGGATACCGAGCTGTCAAATATTGAAAAGTTGCAGCATCTCCGCTCATGTTTGTCTGGCCCCGCGTTGGATTCGGTTCGATCGTTGGAGTTTTGCGGTGCCAATTATCGTGTGGCTCTGGATATTAGATTTAGTAACAAACGTCTGGTTTTCCAGGCACACATCAATGAGATTCTTGGGCTCAAGAGGGTAGATTCGAAGTCGGCTTCAAAACTGCGTGAGTTCTCGGACAAAGTCAATTCGCATATGCGGGCATTGCAGACCTTGGGCAGTTTGGAGCAAATTTCAGGATGCATAATAGTGCACACGCTGCTTCAAAAGTTGGACACTCAGACTCAGACCAAATGGGAGGAGTCCGCAGGCATTGACAAAATCCCGACAGCCGATGAGTTCTTCACATTTCTGGAAAGGCGTAGTCAAAGTCTGGAGAGCGTGCAACATGCCATGTTATCTGATATG